AAAAAAAAAAAAAAACGAAAAAAGAAGAAGAAAATACAATTTGTGCTAGTTTTGCTGTCATATCTCAAATTTAAAAGTTTTGGCCACCAGTCATTGTAAGTGCTTAGTTTCCCACCTTCCTGCCCCACATCCTTTTGGCACTACATCTGTTCATGTGTTCCTAGGAGAACAAAGGGGGAGTATCTCATGATAAGTTTTTTGAGAGAGGAAAAGAGAGACAGAGAGGTCACAGCCTCTTAAATTTTATTACAGCATATTGTTATAATTATTCTATTTTATTGTCAGTTGTTATTCATCTTTGTGTCTAACTTATAAATTATCATAGCTATGTATGCTGCAATTGTTAAACTTAATTGTGTCAACCTGATTGGCTTGGGAGTCACCCAAGGGATTAGTCAAGCATACTTCTGGCTATGTCTGGGTAGGTCCTGGAGGCATTAACCTAGACAGATACATGGTCCTTGATGTCTTTGCAGCCACTGTTCCCATGGTGTGATTCTCAGTCACCATGAAATTCAAAGCTTTGGTCCACCATGAAATTCAAAGCTTTGGTCCACCATGAAATTCAAAGCTTTGGTCCACCATGCCCTTGTGCCATAATGTTTATGCCTTGTGGCCAGCTGACCGTGGGCTGAATGCCCTGAAGTCATGAGCCAAATTAAACCTCTCCTTTAAATTGTGGGGCTTGAATATTATGTCCCAGCAGTGAGAAAACTCACCAACATGTGTGTATAGGGAAAAGAGTAGTTTATAGTTCAGTACTATCTGTAGTTTCAGTCATCCATTGGACGTCTGAGAGTGCATCCCACAGGGACCAAAGGAACTGCTATAGATGAGGCAAAGACACCTATTAAGGTCTGAAAGGGCTGGGGCAGTCTGGCCCACACACTCTGGGTACCAAATCTCTGGGTTCCCTTCTGCCAGGGCCCTCAGACTCCAAATGGAATCCCAACTGAGCAGGACAGAAGCAAGAGACAAAGAAAAGAAAATGTGCAGCAAAGTCATCACTATGTTAAATCTCTGTAAAAACAACAGAAAGGGAGAGCTGTGAGGTTAGCATGGCAATCTGAACACAATGACTTCTAAAG